TACAATCCGAAAGTCTACAATTAAAATGTAAACACTACTGTAAAAAAAACATTTTTAATAAATCTAAACATAATTAGAATTTCATCAAAGATATTTGAATAATTTTCCAAATGATTATGAGATTTTAAATGTTCGCTATCTTCACTTTTCTGATCTCGAGAGCTGCTGTAGCACTTGAGAGACATGCAAATGCAACTTTTCTCCCTACCAGGAAGAGGACCCCAAGTTTTGTTACATACCAAAGCCACCGAGTGCATGTTCAAGCATAAAGTTTTATTGGAACAAACTTGCCATGTTCTACACAAATGCCGAGAACATCATTGAAAATATTCTATAAAAGAATTATTCAAAAAGAAAACCAGCAAGCAACTTGCTGAATCACTTCTCAATGTATACAGTAACAAGCCTCCTAAGCTTCAGGAAGCAGAAGAGTGTTTGATAACACAAAACAGCAGTCGAGTAGTAGGTTGTGCACTTTCAAAAGGCCAGCTCCTATTTTATTACAACAGCAAAACAGAAAAGGTACTCTCTGGAGTCTGAATATTCTGTTTCCACTGCCGAGTTTTACCTCCAATAGAAACATCAATAGCAATGCATCTCAGAGAAAGTTCCGGATATCGAGCGACTTCACATCAGGCATCGCCTCATCCTTGAATTCCTCCCTAAGAAAGATAATCACAAAAACGAGATCCCAAATCAGGGAACAAAGCAAAAGTATCTATCACTATGTCAAGCAACAAAAATTATCAGTTTGCATTCAGCAACAAATGACAGAAACAGTTAAGTTAAATCTTCTTAGCTGTTTGTATAATGGTACATTTCAAATCATCAAAACAAATCGTGTATTATTAAACAGTAGCATATATTCAAAGAGACTGTTTGTAAGAACATCATATCCTGCAATTTAATAAGCCTCAAAAAGGACAAGCAAAATTTGTCTCCAAGTTACAACTTTAGGCCATTAAATATCCAGGACCTCACTTAACATCATCCTATGTACACAACTCATCAAAGTCCAAACAGCCAACCTAGCAAATCAAGCTGGAAACAGGATTATAGCAAAAATAGGTAGAGAAGTAGTAACATACCGCTTCTTTTGTGTTTCCATTGCTTCAATAGCATCCTTCTTCAACTCTTGTAATTGTGCCTTTGCAATTTTGAGCTCCAACTCTTCCTCATACTTGGGCAGTTCTTCCTTCCGGATGCCAAGCCTAGTAAGATGAATAATTAGACCAGGTCATAATTCCACCTCAAAGCAACTTGCAATGAGTATGATGTCATTACAGATAAGGTATGTCCATTTTTAAAGCTCATCATCTCCGAGACACTAGAGGCTTGATGAGCAGGTAGCATTTAAGCATACAATGGGAGAAATTACCACACCATGATTAACACTGACCCATAAACAGCAATGCCCTCAGATGACCTACTGTTCCTAAATGGAATTTACCTAATGCATAGACATGAAAAGAACTAAATGTATTCATACACATGGTGCAAATTATGAATTTCTTATATTGCTGTGAATGCCAAAAAAATATGATGAAATACAATCTTTCATTTAATGAACCAATTCAGCATTTTTGTTTTGCCCAGCAAAAAGTTAAAGACTTCATTAAAGAGAGAACATGAAACATTCAAAGAATAAACCAATTTAGTTTATGAGCTGCAAGCTACACACATCTTGTCCAAACAAAACTGTCATGAACCACGTAGACATGATCATAGAACTTCAGATAACTAAAACCAGGTTTTCAAAACAATGTAAAATCAAAATTACGGTCCCAGCAAAGCATGTCAGATAAAGAAGGGAAAATTTAAATGACCACACAGTTTTTCTTTAAAACGTAAAACAGTGCCTATAAATATTTGTCACAATAGATGTTTCCCTTGAAATTGAAGCATCCCCATCAGTCTTATAAGTTGCAACAAGAAAATGCAGAGATGCAAAGGCCCAAAGAAAGCAACTATATCATCTCTCTCTCTCTCTCTCTCTCTCTCTCTCTCTCTTTTCTTTATGGGTATAAGTACAATTTCTATATAGATCAGCATCAATCACCATATCATAGACTTAGTATAAATCAATCACTGAACAAAATTACAAAATATACAACTTAAAGCTGCACTAAACCTGCACACAGCAAGACTAGACTCAAACATGAAACCTAAAGGTCTCAGGGCCTTAGCCTTAACAATCATCTTCATTGAAGAATAAATCAGTTTAGATCTTAGCTGAGCTTAATGATTGATCAAACTGGCAACTGCTTAGGTTTTATACAAAGAATGATCTTAGATGTGATCATTAGTGACAATACATGGTTTGGAAAATCTTCATTCGGTGATAAGGCAAGAAATAGAAAACATGTTCAGATGTTGAAATGAACACTTACTTCTTATTAATCTTGTCAAATTCTGCCAGAAGAAGAGCCATTCCTTGCTTGTCATTCCTCATAAGAGGTTTTTTCATTTCTTTTTCAACTTTTTCCAAGGCATCCATCATCATGGCCTCTGCACCAAGTTCATCAGTGAGTCCACCCCTACAGGAAGGAAATATTTCAAAAAAAAAAAAAAAAAAGAGTTACCATTATAACCAACAAACTGAAACAGTTTCATTAAATTATTTAAGATTCATGACAATAAAAGAGACACTCAGTTGTAACACTAAACATCTGTGTGGATGTTCAAATAAACTCTAAAGGAGGATAACATTATGAAAGTGATTCCTATCTACATGCCTTTTTTTCCTTTTTTAAAGAAGGAGAAAATTTTTTTATCCCTTAAACACGGTATATCATAACAGGAGGAACACATGAAGTGGAATAATGATAAAGGCATCTAGAACCAAGTATCAATAATCCATATCAAGATGATGCAAACTAAATAAAGAATAACACATACCTGACCCTTATTTCCTGCAATGTCAGCAAGTACGTCCGAGCATCTGGAATATCTTGAGTTTCTGTTTCTATGGTGTGTTTAATTCTTTGAGATTCTGATAACAAGCCGGCCCTGGAGCAAGGAGATAGATATAATAGAATACATAAGTAACCAGTAAAATGTCAGCAGCATCTGCTTCCACATCACTTATCACACTTCGATGCAAAACTCATTCAGAAGAAACTGAACAGAACAAGAATATTAAGATAATTTGAAGAAACTGAACAGAATGGGAATATTAAGACAATTTTAACTTGTCACATGATTGACACTTATTTTTTTTTATGTTTTATGACTAAGACTTGTAAAACAGTGCCATTTTGTTCTAGCACTTCAAGAGCATATGAAGGTCAAAATAATGGAAGCCTAATCATCAATCAAATATCCATTTGGTTAAGATTGAACTGCATCTAAACTGATCATGAAAAATAAAATTCCTATATTTATCTTAACCAACAATGTTGAGCTTCATTTATGAACTCTTCCATTGAATGAGAGAGCTTCAACCTAGTTATGTTTACTGGTGCCAAAGAGCAGAACTTGTGAAACATATACTTAAATATAATTTCATTAGATGGGTTTTTATGCATTTATTTATTTATTAAGAAAAAGGCAAGCTTTTCCATTCCATGAAAGTCCAGTTTCTAAGTTCATTAGATGGGTTCTTTATTTACTTCAAATTATAAAAACATGAATAAATCCCTGATGAAGATACAATCTGAACCACTAGATGCAGATAGCACAAAACACTATGAATGAGCAAATACAAGTTGGGTTAAAGTTTTTAACAGTAGGGCAGAAGTAGAGATTGAAAAATGGAATACCAGCCAATTCTCCCTCCACTCTCTTTATATCCCTAGTTTACATCAAGACACTTTAAAACCAGCAAAACAATTAGGAAAGATGGTAGAATTACTGATCATTCTGGTCATAAGCTTTCTTACAGATCTAATTTGATTCAAATTTAGGTTTGTATAGGAAAGAGAACCTAACAAAAATCCTTCTAAAGTCACTTTCCTTGTAATCAGCTTTAGGTGACTAACTTCTCTCAAAATAATATCCCATCTATCTGAATGGTCTCTTATCAAATTAAAGGTTCTTTTCTTATGCATTTTCATATAAATCTCCCAAGCTGTTGGGCATGCTGGTTCAAGTTAAAGTAGTTCCATCTTTTTCTGTTTTTTAAACCTTACACATTTAAATGCAATCTGTAGTTTGTGCAAAATATTAAAGTCATATGAGATACACACACATTGATGTTCAAAAGAAAAAGAATAGTGGAAAAAGACAAAAAAAATTTCAATTCTGAAGGAAAGAAATTACTTGTCTCTGATAGTCTTCATGACCTTCGCATATTGAGAGACAGCAGCTGGGTCATCTGGATCAATGGTGATCTTCTCCTTCCGAAGTATCCCCACTGCAGTTTCAAATTTCTTCTTAACATCTGAAAAGATGTTCTTCAACATCTCTTTTGTGACAAATGAGAAGTAACTAGTCAGTAAACCATGAAATAAAGCTTGGTATTAAGTAAGAATCAAACTGCATAAATCAGCACTCAATCTCATCTAATTTAAGAATCACAGATATCTTAATAAACAGTGAAAACCTTATCCATATTTCAATCCCATCAAATTCTGAAAAATTTTAAATGGAAAATATGTACCAAATCAGTAGATACAAACCTTTACAGCAATCAGCTGTTTCAGTATATGATAATATTCATTTAAGAGCAAAGAACCTTCCCCGCTCATAGAAAATCAACATCACAAATCTTGCTGTTTCATAGACTTACAAATCAACTATGAACCGGCAACCAGGATATGCACGTACTCACATGTCATGTCAATTATCATTATTACGTGCTGTGTACAGTAACTCTACTTTATGCATAAAGCACATTAGGATAATTTTATAGGCAACCAAAGGACTATATATTCACTAACCTTCTCCCTTAAGAGCTTTGGGAGGGGGAGCAGCATCTTTGGCAAAAAAACGAACAGGTGTGGCATTGTGCTGTGGTAAAATGAGTTGACTCCCATACAGCTGTATAAATTAAATAGCACAAAATATAAGCACAGCATCATTCACAATGAAAAATGGCAGGTTCCAATAAATTTGGGAGGGAAAGGAAAGGACATAGCAGCAAGGCAAATTTCAATCCCCTATATCATTTCACAGTGGTTTTGCTAAATATCAGGTAATCCTTAGCGATTCCCGACACAATCAAACTCTTATTTCAACATTTTTCCTAGGAACCAAACATAAATTTAGGAAAACTCAATTCAAAAGGTGTCAAAGAGCAAACTTGTCCCTAAAATTCTACTACCCTGACACTGTCAAATTTCCATTTCCATTTCCAATGAAAAAAGTCAAATAGATTTCACATTTTGTTGCAAATGAAATCTTCCACTATTTCATTTCACCCCATAAAAAATGAAGAGAAAAACCTAGATTCAGCAGCAATTTAATCGATCCACACAATAACCAGATACAAAAATGAACACTTTAATTAAAGAAGAGAAATGGAGATTGGCATTTGGAGAGAACAGTACTCAGGTCGAGACAAAGAGTGTCGGTCGTGATAGAGAGTACCTGTCGGGATTTGGAGAGGAGGCGAGCAGAGAACGCCATGATCGAGAGCTGAAGCTTTTGGTCAGAGCTAGGGTTGAAGGGGAAACTCAGTAACAGGGTTGAGGCACTGCGATGGTCGTAGTGGACTCGCGCGTAGGATTGCCCTCAAAGTCAAACCTACACCGTTGGATCTTATGACCCACCGGTCCATAATTTTCGACTAATAATATGCCGTTAAGTTTTTTATTAACTATTTATTGTTAATTACATTAAATTTTAATTAATTTAAAATTAAGTTACCTGTTGAATTCCATTAGGTGAAGGTATCTCAGTATTTATTTTTCTATTCACAATATTCAAAAACTCAAAAATTAAAAATTTTATTTAAAGAAAATTGAATTCTTCCCATTCGAATCAACAAATCATAGATATAATATGCATTTATAATCAAAACAAAAAAGTGTTTTATTTGAAAATTGTTGTGTAGTTTTAAATTATATTAAATTATATAATAAAATAATAAAACAAAGATTAAATTTTTTTACATTAGGAATTGTTTACCATTTAAAAGTTTTTATTTTGTAGTATAAAACAGTAAAGTTGTGGCAAGCTAATGGTGTACAAAAGTTGGAGGATTTGTTTGATTAGAAACGAATTTTGGGTGAAAAGTTTTTACAAAAACATGGTTAGAAAAAATATTGTATGAAAATTTTTAAACTACTATTTCACAAATTAATAAATTTTGTAATAAATTTTTTTTGAATTTATGTTTAGTAAGAAATTAATCTTAAGAAAGTTGAGAGAAAATTATCATGGTGGTCCTACACTAAAAAAGTTAGAAAAGAGTTTTTATTTTTATTTTTTATCTATATAGTGTGTTTGGATCGAGGGATTTTAAGGGTGTGTTTGGGTTGATGGATCTTGAGAGAAAGGGAAGGAGAGTGAGGGAGAGAAGTTTCATTTTCTTATTTGAATTATTTCTTTTACAGAATGTCTAAGTTGAGGAAAATGGAAGAGAGGGAAAGAGAGAAAGAGAAATTTTTTATTTGCTTATAAAAAAATTGGAGGGGAGGGAAGAGAAATTTTTCTTCTACTTTATATATATATATATATATATCAATTTAGTTATTTATTTAAAAAAAATGATTAAAGAAATAAAATGGAAAAATAGAATTTTCTTTTCTTTCTTTTTCCTTCTTTTTCCTTCCTTCTCCTCTCCTTCTCTCACCCCAAATATAGGATTAATAGAGAAGGAGAGAGATAAAGGGAGATAGAACCTTTTCCACTCTTTTGTTTTGTTTTGTTTTT